CCGACTTTGGAGGGCTGGCATGTATTTCAAAGGGACTCTCACTGAGCAAACCATATTCCTGGTGATCCCTGAGAAGGTCAGCTGGCCAACGGAGCCACCAGGACAAACCCTGAAACACTCTTTACATCCTCGTCGTTCTTTCGGTCAGCACTCACGCTTGCTATCTTCAAACCGTTGACTCACTGAATCCGAGACACACACTGCACACATGCACACGTTCACAGTATTCTTAGACCAATTTGTGTTTGCCGAATGTTGACTGACTTCCCAACTTCAGCACTGACCGCACTGGGCTGACGGCACAAGTTACCATCTTTGGTGTATATTCTCTCTCAGAAACATCAAATGCAAGTCTGCAAATAAGAGCATGTAATTACAAGCAGGTTCGTTGACGTATGTGAGTGCTTAGCTAAAATAGCTGGAGAAATCTGAGCAAACAGGGAAAGGGCCGGTACATGCTGTACACATTCGGCTGCTGCAAACTGAGCAGCTGAATTGCTCCAGAATTTGTATCAAGTGAGTGACACCTTATTTAATTGCATCGAAGGGTAGCCTCTAACTGTGGAGTCATGCATTAGGATAAAGTCAGTATTGTGATCATGCAGCTAAGGTAGTATCTGGTGATATGTCACGCCGCTCACTGCGCTCTGCGTCTGCCAATCAGCTGGTTGCTCCTCACTGAGAGCAAAATCCCAAATGTTTGCTGTGCTGGTTCCGAGATGGTGGAATGAGATCATCAAAGAGATCAGGGCAGCAGAAAGTCTATACCTCTTCGGATTGTACCTTGAATAGGTGTACGCACTTTCCCCAAAGATAGAACAACAAATTATATTCAGCTGTAAAAGGCAAAGTAAGGCCGGAGACAAGTTCTACCATGTGCTGCTTGGGATCAAGTTCTGTTTGATGTGCCATGAATTCATGCTCACCACAGGTAAGCTGTTTGACGTTGGCTTTACACCGACAGCCAACATTGTAATGGCTCAAACAACTCATCGCATCTGACTTCTGTTTTTCCAACTTAGGCCTCCTATGTCATAGCTGCCGCAGCTCAGCGGGTAGGCTTTAGGGGATACAGGCCTTTATTTGTTTTGTCATTTGCGCCCTTTCAGCCATGGTCCTCTAGCGTTCATAACCGTTAACCGATGGTCTGCGGCATTAGAGTCTCCTTCATGGGCCTTCTGAAGGACAGAGGTAAAGTTAGTCAAACTATGTGATATTCACAAGTACACACAACCCTCAGCCCCCACCTGCTGGTGGCAAACTAATGCGCTTTTATCTCACAATCCTAAATAAGTCAGGATAACAATGAAGAGATTCATCAAGGATCAAATTGAACAGAGAAGTGTACCTCCATCGAATTCGAGGTCCAAAACAATCATAACACAAAATTGGAACCGACCGAGCACCCGAAGGCTTGCTTTGGGGTTTTTTATATGCATTGTATACAATAATTAACAGAGAAACCCATAGCATTCCATATAAAAGTCAATTCACTACTCCGACATAGTTTGTAACCTTATGGTTTTACATTGTCATATGATTACAATGACAGTGTAAATAAAGATGCTGAGCACGGACCCCCCCCCCCCCCCAAAAGCTGTGTGCTCAGCAGTGGGGTTTTCTTGCAGAGGCCAAGGGGAGACAGGCCTCTTCACTTTTTTCAGAATATAACTGATTTATCATCATTAATGATTAGCAATTTAATAAAAAAACGTTTTAACAGTTTACATAATCCCTGTCGTCTCCTCCTCGTCTCTCTTCATTCTTCGTTTTATGATGTGTGAAACAGCGCCCTCTACATGTTACGTGGTGAATGAGCGTTGAAAACATGCTTCTGCCCTCTGTGTTTCAGACAAGTTGCACTTGTGTCCGTGAGGAAGCCAAGCTGAGTTTTTCTTCTTTGATGGGAAAAAAAGATGAATCAATCAGGTGAGGCTGTTGTGACGACGCTGCTCCCCTGTGATTGCTGAGGACGGCGTCAAGGGAAGCCGTTGGCTTCACACCAATCAAATCACAGCACGTCATCAACGTCATTGAATGAAATAATGGACGATTTGTGTTGGTAGGCTGGTGAAAGTATTAAGTGCAGTGATGGATGCTGGACATATGTATTATTTAGTAAAAAATATTTTCACTAAACTGCCTTTGCAGCCCAACTCCGAATTAAATCAGACGGCAGGCCAACACCAAAACGCTCCGTACTGAGAGGAAGGAAAGTTCTATGACTGTCAATGAAGAGAATTAACGTTGCGTCCGCAGTGAGCGGCTCACTCAGAGCATAAGAGTTGTGTTTGACGTGGAGGTAAACTTAATGGCTTCTGATTGGGTGTGTAAATGAATTCACATCTTTCCAATATCTAATGCGTGCTGTGCTTTAAGTAGCTGCTTGTGCTTTTGGGAGGGTGGTTGCATAAATGAATGACATGTTTAAGATGACTGAGTGTGAGTGAGAGAGAGAGAGAAATGTCGGTTAGATAACAAGCGTGTGTGAGTCCCGGTAAAATGATGCTGGGCGCTGTAATAATTCACCCAACTACATGAAATAGCAACATGCGATTTTCTGCCCCCACCCCCATAAAAAATACACAGTTTAGAGGTTGCGTGGCTTCCTCGGAAAGGTTCCCTTCGCCACTGGTGCTCAGTCCACTACTGTTCACTCTGCTGACTCACCACTGTGCAGCAATGCACAGCTGGAACGACCGCGGTGGGTCTCATCAGCAAGAACGATGAGTCAGCATACGGAGAGGAGGTGCGGCGGCTAACTGACTGGTGTAGAGCCAACAACCTGTCCTTGAATGTGGACAAAACAAAAGAGATGCTTGTTGACTTTAGGACGGCACAGGGTGAACACTTTCTGCTGAGCATCGACAGCTCCTCTTTGGACATCGTCAAGAGCACCTCACCTGGTCCCTCGACACCAGAAAGCCCAGCAGCGTCTCTACTTTCTTCGAAGGCGGAGGAAAGCACATCTCCCCCCCCCCATACTCACTACGTTGTATCGGGGGGGCTAATGAGAGCATCCTGAGCAGCAGCATCACTGCCTGGTTTGGCACCGTTTGAGACCGCGTAGCCCTGCAGAGGATAGTGAGGACAGCTGAGAAGCAGTCGGGCCCTCACGACCAGACTGCATAACAGCTTCTTGCCCCAAGTCATCAGACTCCTCAGTACTCAGAGACTGGGTTGACAAACACACACACACACACACACGTCCTGAGTTGCACTTTAATTACTGTCACTTTACTACTGTCTGCTACCTCAATAAATGCTATGCCCAAGGAACACGGTTGCGGTCGACGGTGGCGCATGTGTGACCGGATGAGGGTTTCTCCCCTCCCTCTTACCTGCACACAGGGGTGTGGACCACCAGAGGCGGGGACATTACTTAAGCCCGTGGTGTGTGGACTCCTTCTGTTGTCTTCTCCTGCTGGGTGTCTGCGGAGACGTGTCCGGGAGGCGTGCGTTACGTTTTGGCCGCTGCCCTACGTCATCATTCTGCTGCGGCATTCTGCTGCTTACGGCTGCACTTTCTCCGTCTTTTGTGCCTTTTATTGTCCTGTGTCGCCGTGTATGCGGCACTAATGTGCATTCTTTCAGATAGCGACCCTGTCTTGGTCATGGATGTCCCCATGGGGGTGGGTGTATGCCTGGACTGCTGGCGTTCGGTGTCTCGGTACGATGCATGCCTCCCTCTTTCGACACATTTGGGCGTTATTAAAGTCTTAATTGTTAGAGTGTGGGCCGCTGTCTGAGTGTGTGTGTGTGTGAGGTGGGTGCCACCGCCGGGGTCCGTGGGCGGCCTGTCCCGTAAGTCGCTGTGTTTGCTGTACATTCATTGCGGTCGTGTTAGAACGGTGTGTTTCACAACACAGCTGGACCGGGCTGCAGCCTTGGACATGCTATTGTGGGGCTATCCTGGTGCCACGACTAATTAAAGGGCCAATATTCCCCGGCGCGTTCTTCCTCCCCCACTGAAGGTGTTCTTGATACCGGCTGAAACCATTCTGGTAACTTCTGATTACACACGCACTCTGGAAACTGGTACAAAAATGGCTCTATATTGTATTAACTGTTGTACATATTGCATGTGGGTCTTTTCCTTTTTGTTTGCATCTTCCTTATGCATGCTGGTTTATTGATTTGAATTGTTTATTTTCTTTATCACTCATCTACTCACTTCTTAACAAAGAACATATTGTCATTTAAATAAAGAATATTTAACTAAATAAAACCGTATTTTTATAACTACCTTTTATGGTCTATGACCCCTGATTTTGGCGAACGGCTCTGTGTGTCTTAACAAGAATGGTCTTGGGCCTATCCTAAGTGGCGTTGTTGGACATGGTTATTTTCCTTGAGTGTCATAGGCCACTCGTATTGCCACACCTGGAAAATAGCGCGCATAACCGCCGGGAACCGCAAGGTTGGCAGTTTGATCCTGTCACACAACAGACCACATCATAGTTTATTTTAATCTTCACCGCATGTTATCTAACTCTCCTGTCATTTCAGATCCTCCCACATCATCAGCTCATTACCCTCACCTGGTTCTCCTTGCCCTCACCTGAAGCACATCCCCTCATCAGCCACGCACTATTTAAGCCCGTCACATTCGTTTCTTCCTGGTCAGATTGTCTTGTGTGTTTTGGTGGAAAACGTGTACAACCTGAGTGCTTCTTGAAGCACAAATAGAAGACTCTGTATTGTGAAAACGGTGGAAACCTCTGACCAGTTTATTATAACTCTGCACCCTCCCATGAGATGGAAATGTTGACTTTGTGTTCATTTTAAAACACACTTGCATATATTTCTTAGCGTCCGTCTCAGCTGGCTACTGTTTGGTACTTCACACTCACGGGCCGCGTTTCACTGAAAACCAAACATTTCATTTGGCAAAAGATTTCAATTGCGTTCGTTCATCTAACATCCATCAGTGAGGCAAGATTGTGTAGAGCACATGAAGCCTTGTCTAGTAACCAGCAAAAGAAAACACAACTTGAGGATTTCTTACTGTACACATTTTATATTTAATAGTGCAAATAGGCAATTGTGTTACAGATTTACATACATTTTATGCATCCAATCAGTTGCATCTGGCTGTAATATTCAGCTTAAAGGCTCCATCAAATTTGTTACATTATTAGAGACGTTTCTATATTCCACTACCCAAAGGCATACAGCAAAGCAGATTTCATATACTGCTAGTAGTATTATTAAAATTCTTACATACACTTAATACACAGCTACGAGAAGAAAATACAACCGGCATATGATGGACATTACATCTGATCAATATCTATTGTAATTAACCATGTGATGTGATATCAGGTCCACAGTAAATGTTATTTGAAGGACAGCGTTGTTGTATTAATCAGCTTGTCATACACATCGCGTGTAGTACTTTCAACAAACACTAGCAGAAAAGCTTCTGTTTTAAAGGACACAAATGAATTGCTAAGTATTTTTTAGGTAATGCGATACCTTTATTCTCTCCAGATTTAGGGCCAGGGTTGTAAAAACAACCCACTACGGCTCTTGCAGGTTTTTCAGACACTCCTCTATTTCTCTACACTTTCGGCTCCTGCCTTTATTTTTAATCTTCTCAAGAACTTTAATGCTGTTCTCACGATAGAAGGATTTTATCGGTATTGCTGCCGCCTTCATGTTATATTCTATTGACTTGTTGTAATCTTTTAGATCAAAGACGAGATATTTGGCGTAGTGGTTGTAAAGCACCTGTTTCTCTGCAGGTTCCAGCTTCCTTTCTAGCAGTTCTCCGTACAAACGTTTGGCTTCAGCCTGTCTGCGATTGGACTTTGCGTATATATCTGCGAGGTCCATTTCCTTCGCAAGTGCAGAATCAGGGTAAAGAGAAATCACCTCCTTGTGGGGAATGACTGCTCTGTCAACCATGCGCTCATCTACGCCACTGTCTCTGAAAAAAACAATCTTCCATTTGAGAGTTAGTGCAGCACATCTCTTCAGAAAACGCTCATCTGGATGGTTTTCCACAGCCGTTGCTGCCAAAAGAATGGCCTCATCAATAGATGCATCATTTCTGTAAACCCTAAGTATTGCTTTCATACCACTGTAGCTGCTGACAGGGTTTCTTAAAACTCTTTCGGCTAACTCACGTGCTTCATCTTTAACATCTTCCCCTTTCTTTGCACGTAGCTGAAGGTAGAAAGCAGCGAGGTACAAGTTCTCTGGATCCTGTTTCTTGGCGTCTCTCATTTTATCAAAGATGTCAGCCTCCAGCCCTGGGCTGCTTTGCTTAAAAGCACTCGCTAACCCGATGACGTGACTGGTGTTCCACTCCACCATGTCTGGCTGCATCTTGATGGCTTTCTGGAAGTATTCTGACACCAGCTCTCGTTTTGTGCCGAAATTCATCAGGGTCCAGGCTTTTTCAGCGTAGAGTTCTGCATGGAGCTCGTCCTCCGATGGAGTTGGGTATTTCTTCTTTAGGGCGTCAACCTTTGAAAGGTAAGCCTCGCTCTCTGCTTGGTCTCCCAGGAGGTGGTGCAGCCAAGCCAGGTTCCCGTAGTTCACCACCAACCAGGGACCTTCACCTGCCCTTCTCATCTGGCCGAAGGCCTCTGCAGCCTGGAGGAAGAAACTCAGGGCGTCTTCGGTGGAGCCCAGCTTGCACTGAATGAAGCCCCTCAGGTTGTAGATGTGACCCAGCCAGCTGTTTCCTTCCTCCGTGCCGATGTCCACCAGCTTGTCGCGGAGACGTAACAGAGGGATCTTGCTGGTGTCTGGAACCCACGTAAAGTGACACTCCAGGGCCTCCAGTTTGGACCGCAGTGTTGTTTGACTCCGTGCAGCACTATTAAAACACATCACTGGTTAATATAACATCGTCAGAGGCGTGCTGTGTTTGGATAATCATTGGTCATTTCATGTTGAGGAAAGGAGGGAGGTAGAAATGGAGCGGGCAGTATTGAATGCAGAAACAGAAAAAGTGGACATGAGTGGACGTAGAATAAGGAATGAAGTTAATTGAACAGAGGGTGTAAGGAACGGATAAAAAATATGTATGAGAACGGAAAAAATATGCAATGAGTTCATGTACTACTAAAGAAAGGACGTGAGGGCGATGAGGAATGAAAAACAAGAGGGTCAGGGGGGCGGGGCGAGAACAGAAGTGAGAGAAAAGATGGATGAGGGAAAAAAGAGTGCATCCATCCTTAAACCGCGTATCCTGCACACAGGGTCAGGGGGGGGGCGAGTACCGGAGAGAACCCATGCAGACACGGAGAGAACAGGCGACAGTGCCAACCACCACCGCAGTATCGTATTTCGTACATTAAGAAACACATTAAAAAAATAATTTAAATTGGACGTCCATTTACGACACCACGCTGCGCAGTTTACGTAAAGCACGTTGGGCGGAGCGGTTCCTGCGCTCGGAGGCGTTTCCAGTGGGGGTTTGTCCTTGTCACCAAACCTGTTGTGTTGTGTTGTGGTTTTTAGCGAGAAGGTAAAGCTCTCGATATACCGGTAAAGCACCACACCACCGTGCCGCCCGCCAGCAGAGGAAAGGAAGGAAATGACCGAAATTGTGTGAGCCACTGAGCAGAACAAGGAAGTAAAAATAGTGAGGAAAGTAAAACTACATCAACACGATGAAACCTAAAGAAAACATTTTTTAAATCAGGACGGAAGAAACACAGGAGAGATCAACGTAGTAACGAGAGACAGGAGGGAAAGAATCAAGGAATTACTAACGATTGAACTAAACTAAATAATGTATCGAGAACACAACGAAAAACTACTAAATCAATCGTAATGATATTAATGTTTTACTACAATGATAGAAATGCAGAAACCGCTCCTCACCTCATTATTCAGCTGTTTCCTCAACTAAGTTTGTGTCGCTTTTTGCTCTTGATGCTGCTTCGGCTTCTCTGGTGTAAATGATGATGTTGGAAACGCAGCTTTATATGTTCACCATCCCGCCATAGCGGATACTAGAGGCGCTGCACTTTAACACTGACTTTCGTTTCTGGGGAAACGTGATTACAATCCTGAAACACGACTCATGGACCTCCCGTGAAAATGGAAACATCCCTGTGTGTGAAACCTTTGAGATTGACTTTCGTTTATCAGGAATGTAAACAGCCACTTCTTAATAAACAAGCCCGTATTATTATTATTAGCCCATAATTAAGCAACACTGGGTTAAATATCAAAACCTAAAAAGCAACATCTGTAAACATGCACCTTTTGGTTAAACCTCTTGTGTCACGTCTGAACGCATCGTTATGTTTTTTTGAGCTGTCTACATCTTCACTTTCGTTTCCCAAGATTTAAAACTCGCATCCGCATGCGATTACACTGAAACTTGAATAATCACCTTTTGTATGTGTTACAAAATATAAATACATATACCTATAGTATGTTGCTGAGGGATTATGATAGTTTACACGTTACTTATTGCGACTTATGAAAATATATTAATTACGAGACACGATTTTCATTCACGTCAAAACTGAAGTAGTGTCACCGAAATCCCTTGACGGCATCCTCCTGCTTAAAGAAGTGAGACTTTATTGGTCATGTTCATAAAGGTGCATACATGACATTTGACCAATGAATTTAAACCTGTGGCTTATGATCAGCGTGCTGCTGTGTAACAAGGAGCAACTTGGGGTTTGGACAGTAAGAAATACAATTATACAATACTCAGAAAATTCCATTTATGGCTGCATTTTATGCAACAGAGAACACATTTTCAGATACTTAACTTTAACGAGGGTATTATAGGTTATGATCATGCAACACTGGTTGAATATCCAAAACCCAACATGCCACATTTGATTGGCCAAACCTTCTCATCCAATGAAAACATCCAGATGTCGTGTGCTCATGTTAAACACAGTCCTATAAAGTTTTTACACTCTTAACCAGACAGTCTGACGAGCTTCGGTATGGTCAACAACGGTCACATGTAGACACCTGGATTAGGACGCTATGCTGCCCCCTACTGGTGTCACCCGGAGCGGTTTGGTGTAACCTAGTTACTGTTGGCCCAACATCCACCAGAAAAACACAACATCCCATTTACATTTTCATACATTCACCCATCGACTCACCATTCTTTGTTTATTTTTTACTCGAAGGTTTCTATTCACTGTAAACCATTTCATGTTTATATTTATTGAAGTAAGTATTAATATGAAGGTGCCTGTATATCCTCTGTGTGTGTTTAGTTGTGCACTACAATTTAAACTGCATTTCGTAAATGTAGCAATTAATTAACGTTGTAAATGCGTAAAAAGGTCAATTTGAACGTCCATTTACGATTCCACGCTGCGCAGTTTACGTAAAGCACGCAGGACAGAACGCATCCTGCGTATGTTGCTGTAGTTAGCAATGGCGGAGCTCAAAGAGGCAGACGCAGCTCAGCTTCACCAGGAGGACGTCGATATCAAACGTAAGTAAACCGCGCCCGTTTGTTGTTTCAACGCGGAATTTCGGGCCGTGAAGTGGAGAATAAATTATCACTCAGTAATCGTCAGAGCCGTGCGGTGAATTCACAGAGAATTCCAGTTTGCAACTGCTTAACTGAACCAGGGCCTCACCACGGAGCTCCGCCATGGGACCTAAATAGTCAACAACAAGGGCGTCAAAGGCCCCGCGGCTAACACGAGCTAAGCCGTTGTCGTTAACAATCACTTACAATGGTGGATCTCTTCACTTAGCTTTAATTAGAGTGTGCGTTTGGCTCGTACTGCAGTTTGGGACGACACGGTCTCACCACGGAGCTGCACTACAGGACCGCTCGGTTTGGCCGCCAGCTGTCCGTTAGTCATCGTCTTTTTGACGGTTCGATGTGTCCGACGTTGCGCCAAGACGTCGATGCGAGTTTCAGAGAAAACCAAAGTCATCCGGCGATGGCTAAACATCACAGGATGTCGTGATTTAGAAACTAACAGATGATGCTGTTTACGATCAATTTATTAGTGTTAATAAACAGTGGGAGCAGATCTGCAGCAATAATACTATATTTATAACACAGACCTAACGTTACCAGCTAACGTTTCTTCTTTCGTTTTTACTTTCTTGTTCGTGTGCTTGTGAAGGTGGAGGTGGTGCGGGTGCACCGTCAGTTGGGGACAAAGCTGCAGATCACACAGTGCAAACTGAAGCTGCTGCTGCAGACAATGACACCAAGCCCTCAACCACAACTACTGGTGAATTAATAAAAGCAGTTTCTGTGTGCCGATTGGTTGAAATCCGTGATGGCCTCATAACATAACATACTATACTTGATGGCATTAATGATGAAACTTTAATGTTGTGGAGTAAAACATCATAGAGGTTTTTGAAGTATTGTCCTTTTCTACAAACAGAGCGACACGTCTCCATCCAAACTAAATTGGAGGGACTGGAGGTGCTTGTTGACCTCAATGGTGGTAAGTTCAGCTCTGCAGTAAATCTTCATCATCCCTCTGTTTCCCTGTTTGTCATATATTTTATTAAAGAAACCAGGTGACATAGGAAAATAACTAGAGGACTTACCTTTATTCATTATTTTTGCATTAATTAACTTTCTGAATCATAAATGAACCAAAGTCAAATGTCTAGTTTTGGATTATTTTTTTTTTTACATTTATAGATCCAACAGTCAAACAGCCCTGCTGATTGATTTTGTGTTTTCATTCATCAGCGGGACGTAAGTCGTGTCCTCTGTGTCCCGAGGAGAAGTTTAAAGCCTGCTACAGCCATAAGCTCCGCCGACACCTGCAGAACCTCCACTGGAAAGTCTATGTGGAGTTTGAAGGTAGGGATGTAATCCGGCCCGGCTCACTCTCTGCCTTCCAGTTCTTCTGTTAGGGTTTCGGAAAGCTCTCGAGGGAGTCCTCACTCCTTTGTTCTCGTCCCGGCTGGAAACGAAGAATCAAAAGAGTCAGCTTGCTTAAATTCAAAAATCAAAAAGTATTTAATAACTAAACAACGTTATAAGGAATACAGTTACAAAGTGAAATACAAAATGAACAGTAAAATATTTCGCAAAATAGAGAATCCTCTGAGCAAGTCTAAAGCGACTTATCAAAGCGGCTTCAGGATAATTCTAACAGTTCCTTCCCCACTTTGGTCCTTTGAAAACTCTTCAGGTGTGTCTTCTTTGGTGCATTTGAATGTCATTGGCTTCTCCCTCAAAGTGTCCCCTCCTTCGTTGTCCCCTTCACATCGAGGTGTGAAGCTGCAGCTGAAACCTGAAACCTCTCTGTCCTATCTGTCCCTCACATCCCAATGCACTCAATGTAGATACAGTTGGCTTTATGCCTCAATGAGTGAACATAACAAAGCATGCATAGTTTAAGTCTTCATCTTATAACTAGTACACCGTCATTACAACAAGTCATTAATGATCGCCGTTCGTCACACTTCATCATATGATCTAAAACAGTTCATGTGGTCCAATTCTCAAGACATTTGCCCCAGTCGGCTGCCTTACATTAAGTTGTTCATTTACTACCTCACGGGAGAAAAAACTCCCAAAAAACCCTCTTTGGGGATAAAATTGGGAGAAATCCATAAAGGACGGCAATTAGCATCCGTCCCCAGGTTTCAACATCACATTGTGACAGAATGTTAATGTGTACAGTGTTTATATGATTTTAATGACTATGAATTGTGTTTGATTCAAATTGCATTCACTGCATCTAATATGTTAATGTAATAACTGATATCTAATAACACACAAACTATAATTCTAACACTAAACAATATTACACATACTATAACTTCCATGACTAGGGGTGCACTTCTGACTTAAATCCCTAACACTTCCCACAGATATTGGATGCGCTTGAGGTCAGTGCTCTGTAGAGGCCAGTCTAGTTCTTTCAAATGGACCTGGATTTTTGCATGAGGACATTTGTCATTTTGAAACAGGAAAGAGACAAAAAAAACAACTGTTGCCACAAAGTTGCAAAATAACTGTACTCCAAAGGAGTAAAAAACACGTAATGACACTAGTATCCAGCAAACTCTGCCATTGGCAATTAGTGTGGAAATATGATGAAGTAAAAACTGTTTTGTGCTTTTAATTTTTTAAGGTGGTCTCTATGGTTTGAAGAAGTAAGAAAACAAGTTAAAAGGCAATAATTTCCATAAACAGACATAAAATGTGTGCCATATTTTTTTTTTTACATCCGACCCCTGACCTTTAACAGGTCAGAGGATGTGCATCTGTCACCTGCCCTGCAGGAACCTGAAGCCCAGCCTCAGCGGAGATCAGGTGAGAAATAAGACACACAAACCGTCTGCAGATCAAGTTCCCTTCAGACAATAGGAATGCTGTGTGATGACCTCACCACAGAAGGACTCATTCCCGATGATCACTTAATACTTGTCACAGCTTCACACATTCATTCACTCACATCATACAGTAGCGGATGGAGATCTGCTCTCTACTCATTGCACCTTTCTAGTAACAGCGAAAGACTCTTCTCTTCCTCCACTGTCACATTTAAACACTGTTTAGTAGTTGCAGTTAATTTCTTCTTTCGCCCCCAAATTTGAACTATTTGACTGATGTTTTGTGTCCAGGCATCGGGGAGACACGTGGCCCACTACCACTGCGTGGTGTGTTCTGTGACCATCGCCCGCAAGACGGACATGATCAGCCACCTGAAGAGACACGTCAACAAAGGAGAGACCGAAGCCAGCTACTGCGGCAGCACAGACGTCCCGTTCGAGGAGCCGGGTAAGAGGTCCAAAAAGAATGGACAAACTTGAGGCAGACATTTTGGCTTTTTTGGACCTGAACTTACCTGCCGCTAACCGATAGCGCCAACCACCAAACTTTGTTTTTTCTTAAGAGAGACGGCCATTAGCTTTATGCAAGTATTTAAAATGAAAAAACATCTTTTAGATCTCCCTCTTTCTCAGTCCTGGCACCGCTTTGAGCAGTTCAATCCCCCAGAGATTCTTTGATCCTGGCTGTGTGCAACAAAGCACAAACAA